TTATAATAATTTTTTTATCTTATTATTGTTTATAATTATTTTTTAATCATTTGTTTCTTATTATTTTTTACTTCTTAATCACCTTTTTTTAAAATAATTTTTTGTATTTCTTTAATAATTTTTTTTAATCAATTTTCTTTTTTCACTTAACTTTATCGCCATCACACAGGAGATAACAAGCCCCCTGTGTGATAGCAATGGGAGGCGACAGGTTCTCTTTATTGACCCCCTGTCACCTCCAATGCAGGAGTTCTAGCGCAGCGCTGTGCTGGAACTCCTGTGACAGGTGAGAGAGGAGGAGCGCGGCACGGCGCGGCACGGCGCGGCACAGCTCTCCCCTCTCACTGTGTACACGGAGCGGCGGGGTTACTTTTAACCCTTGCCGCTCTGCTCCCCGCATCGGCGGTAGGGACTCGCGACAGGAGAGATACTCGATGGCCGGGGGGGCTGGGGGAAGACGGAGCCAGCATGGAGGGGAAAGCGGTGGGGGGAGGGGGATTTCACACCGCTGCCGCCCCTCTGCGCCCTCTGAGGGCGGGCCTTGGTGACCCTGTGGGGAATCCGGGCCTGCCCCTGACCACCATCCCCCACACATTACCCCCCCAAATGTGTCAGCATGACATCCGGGCAATGATCATACTGAGAAGGACAGGACGGCAAGGGCAGCCCCCCCCGTCTGTCTGACTTACTTTTAGTGGGTCCGTCTTTCAGTCCCGCAGGGAGGATGAGGTTGGGTGGAAGGAGAGACTCGGAGGAAAAGGAAGACAGGAGCTGCGAGGAGAGAAAAGATTGTTATCATTATCCTGAGGAGAATGCAAAACTACAATTGTAGTCCCCCCTCCCCCACCCCCGAAAAAAAGAAACTCCTGATTTCCTTTTGTGGGCTGACAACGCAGAGCTACTCTGTCAACTGAGTGGTGTCAGCCCTGCCCATTGCCTTTATTCTAATTTACTCAACTGACCCCATTGTTTTTCCTCTCCACAGCTGTTGTGGCACTACAAGTCCCATGAGGCATTGCAAGACGGACGGCCACAGGCATGACTCCCAAAAGCATGTTGGGATGTTGCCCACAGCAGGTGTAGGAGGCATGTCCGGCTCCTCTCCTCCCCCGCTCCTATAATGCCCCTCCCCCCGTGTACAATGACACTTGTAGACAGTCGGCGGGTGTCACTGAAGAAATACAACGTAACCAGGGGCGGGACTAGAAATCACAGCTAGCAAAATTCTGTATGGGGCCCCGTGATTTCTACTTACACCCCTTGCAGAGC